CGTCGCGAACTCACGATCAGCGTGACTCGCCTCCCTCTCTACCCAGGGCGTGGGAAAGGAAACTAGGAAAGAAATGCCGATGTTGTCTTTTTGGGCCGTCGATTAGTTCTAAACTAATGCCTAATGGACTATAATGACCCACACAGGCTTACCTAACACTACCCTAGGACCGCACCGGCAACTATCTAAAAAACTAAAGCAACTAAGAACATCTCAGCCCTAAACCAAAAAGCAAAAAACAACTATCTCTACCAACAAGAAAAACCACTAGCTGCCGATGAATACTTCCATCAAACCACTTACTGCTCTTGAATATTGCCATATTAGCCTTTGGTTATCTTGCCCCTCTTCTTGTTTTTTTTTTGTTGCCCCACTTCAATTAGCACCGTGATGGCATCCATGTTCGCCTTGGTGAGTGGACACTCCAAATGTTGCGCAAAAAATTCAAATTGGTCAGCTTCCTCATGTGTTGCTGATGGCGATAAGTCTCCTAGCTTTTTGATAAGCAACTCCTCTGCAACTTGGATTGCTCATTTTCCTTGAGTGGTTTTGGATTTCTTTGCTAATCTAATGCTTTTACGTTGTGGGGTAAAAAATGAGGGTCTTGGTGGTGGTGGGGTTTGAGGAGGTTCAGATGTGTTTCGCATTTCATGATCAAAGGTTGCACTTCAATTTTGCGCAATTTTTGAATATGAAAGGGAAGGCCAAGGTATCATTCGGGTGATGAATAGACAAGATGCTAGTACGTACTACCACCACCAGCAGGAGGAGGGAGGCATGCAGTGGTGGGCTAATCTAATCGGATGCCGTGTCGATAACATCGTCCTTCGCGGTGCCCCGATCGGTCGCAGTTGCGACGTCCGTGTGGTGTGTTCGTGTGCTGGCCGGCCGACGGCCGCCGGCCGCCCGGCCATGACGACCGCTCAACCGCAGATTTCCATCGCTTTTCATCCGTCCCATCCATCATTGGACTGCTCACTGGTTCATCCATCCATCCATCGTCGGGATGCATGCATGGCGACTGGCACTCGAGCTAGCATTGATGATTGGTGACAACTGACGAATAAAGTAAAGGAAACTCGGGTGTATTTCCGTTACTAATGCAATGAATCTCCCTAATTCGAAAAAAAAACCAAATATTAGAACGTTTCCAATAGCATGAGCTAGAACTTTAAGATGGTGAATACAGCATAGAAGAGAGAGACTGCGATAAGCAACCTTAAACATTGTGCCGTGAAAAAGAAATACATCATAATCGCCTAAGTCCATGATAGTAATTTTGCTTTTTTACACTATTTAACGATTAAAAAATTAATTAAGTTAGCACTAGTCTAGACCATTGGAAATGTCCTAAGAAAGAACATGTGCAGGTAGCCCTTTCATTAGGAAGTCCTACCATGGGGCAGAGCTATATAGACAGCAGTGGGCGCACAACGCACCCATTGCGAAAACAACAACAACAAAAAAAACAATGATTATGATTATATTTTCACCACATGCGCACCCCGTGGTAAAAAAATTTACACCTACATGGTGAGCGTACCCCTTCAAATTTGCTTTAGCTCCCCACCTACATGTGAATTGTGATGATATCCGTAGACAATGTGAACCACAAATATACAGAAAAAATTGCTATATTTTATACGAATGAAACCCACCTTGGCCCGGCCGGTCTTGCACTTGATTTTTTTTCACCATTGGATTGAAGTTTGATAGTTTAGATCTTTTTATTTCGTCTTCCTTCATCATCGTCTTCGTCATGTCGCTCGTCCTCTTGATTCGAGTGCCTCCACCGCCACTACCCTCCCACCCAGCTACCAATGAACCGAGTACCCCTACCTCCAGTAGCCAATGTCCTCTGCTCTTTGCTCGGATTTCCGCTCTAAGTTTTAAGATTTTGAAACTTTTTTTTGAATTTTGCAAATGACCTCAGATGAAAAAACGACTTAAACTAATGTTGTAGTACTCGAAGAGTTTTTTCATTAGAATTCATCTAGAGTCTCGAATATGCATTACAATATTTTGTAAAGTTAATACAAAAGGAGTATATTAGCTACTTAGTCACATGTGATTCTGAGGCTTAGTGGTAGGGAAGTAATGTGTGAGGCACCTGCGATGAGATCGATGGTGGGCGTCTTCCAATGTTATATTTCTTTTTCTTTTGTTGCTATTCTTTGACTTGATTTACAAATTCTTGAAAATGATTTTCGGAGACAGTTTGTGTAAGCATGCCTGTCAGTGTAATCTGACGGTTCTAAAGCTGATGTCCATGGAATCTTACCATTTTCACTGATAGTTTACAAGAATACCAATGAAAATAAAAAAAAAGAATACAGTCAGTACAAACATTTTCTATACGGGTGAATATAGCAAATCCAAAAATAAAAATCTTCTCCAAACTAATTAGGCTGGTTGCCTACTCTACTGGTTTGACATACACTAGTTAGGGCACGTACAACGGGCCGTCGAGTGCCGTCTGTGTCTAGTAATTTTTGCATAAAACACCCTCGTATGGTGAGGAGATGGTGCCATCGTCATCTCGTGAGGCGACGGCAAGGGCTCGTGGTCCAGGACCAAATCGCCAACTAGAGGACCGTTGTACAGGGTCGTCCTCTCGAGTCGACGGCGCGGATCCTGCTGCGGGTGCGCTCGGATCCAGATTTGTAGATAGCAAAATAGACAGCAGGTGTCTGTGGATTGTATGAACTGTCTGTGTTAGCTGTCTATGTTGTAAATCCCAAAAACTTACAGACAGCAGCTGTCTGTCCGTTGTACATGCCCTTAGAGAGCTAGCGCTAGCTGGTGTGCTGGAAATTCAAAGCTGGAGCTAGCCCAACAAAAAGAACATCATCGTGTGAGCTATATTTAATGACAGCATGCAGCGGGCTTGTAAGGGCGAAAGATCGAGACGATGGGCCATATGCTCATATTGAAGGAACAAGGAAGGGCACATGACGGATTATTGATCGGAACATGAGATCGCTTTTCGTACGTGGATGATTGGTTTCATGATCTTATTAATTAGCTAGCCATGTTGATCACGCTATGACGACCTATATACTCTTGCTATAGTATCTTTTTTCTTTCAATCACAGTACAACGCCGTTTACACTGAAATAATAACGCCACACACCCTCACCTCTACAAAAAAGATTGACCAAAAATCTCTACAAACGTCTCTACATCGTATACAACTGAAAGACAACGCCGTTAAATTAAATGCGATCACCCACGTCAAGGATACTAAAATAACAACATCGTTAAATTATAAAATAAATTTAGAAAAAATGCAAGCATCCGCGTCAAGCTGATGACTTACGCCTAGGTGAACATCCTTGGCACCCAACCAACATAGCTATGCTCAGTTGGCATTGCTACAGTGCTCATGCATGATATGAAGAGCACCATCTGTGACGGTCGACATCCTCGGTGGGTGGAGGGTGCAACCTCGCTCCCACTAATAACCATACAAGTTGTTTCTGGTGCATCTCAGTTTTTCCCGCTTGGAATAATGGAAACAATTCCTTTAGAACAATGGAAATGAATAGGTTGCTGCGATAGCTCAATGGAAACGATTCCTTTATAACAATGGAAGTGAATAGGTTGCTACGACGGAGATAGAGGAAGGCCGAGAGGCGGGGAGAGCTGTCTGGAGGATGCGGACGGTGAGGGAGCAGCGCTGAGCGGTGGAGAGCGGGTTTGCTGTGCAAGTTGGGTGGAGCAGGGAGAGCGATTCCCACACGGAGTTGAGCCCTTTGGCAGCGCTTAGGTGATTCTCGTGGGGAGCGGAGCCACACCAGCGTTGGCAAAAGGGTCCTAAGTAGATAGAGAAAAAAAGAAAGGGGTGGAAACAAATTAATCATAATCATAAATTAAAAAGACCGCCATTTTAGCGATGGTCCGTCCGTACACAAACACCCATCAAATCCGAAACTCTTTGTTGGAGAAAATATTTTCAAACCTAGTTTTTTGCAGAAAATCTAGCATTTGTAGCTCTGACTCTAACCGAAGTCCACGCCAAAGCCGATGCCAGCATAACGATTTTCGCGAGAGGATCACGTGGGTCCGCGCAAAAATCTCCCGAATTCCACCGAACTGAAAGCGCGTGGGGCCTGGACTGGACGTGGGGGCCGGGCGGGGGGACGGACAAGCGCGCGCATCGACGACTAGCCGGGTAGCGACAGCCCACCGCCCGCCCGCCCTCCCGCGCGCGGCTGGCATGGCATTGGCATGGCCCTGGCCTGGTGAGAGAGGGGGAAACGAACGGACCGCGACGGCGGCGGCAACGGAGCGCCGGAAACCGCGGCCCCGCGCCGCTAGCTTTTCGTCGGGCGCACGGGAAATCTTATCGCCTCTGTGGGGTGGGGCGCGGGGACGCAGACGTGCAGTGCAGCCCAGCAGCCCATGCCCATCCATCCGTCCATCCTCAACGATTGAACGCACAGCGCTCGCCGCTACTACTTGCAGGCTGCAGCAGCTGCCCTCGTCTCGATCGTGCCCAGCTGCTGCCGCTCTCGCTCTCGCTCTCGCTCTCGCCGCCCGTCCCTCCCTCTCGTGTAGGCCAAGGCAGTAGCCACCACCCCCACCCCAACCGCGTCATCGTCTTATCTCTCTCCCATCATTTCATCTATCTATCTGATCTCATCTCCTATCTTCTTCCTCCTCTCCTCCTAGCTTCTTTCTTCCAGCTCTCTCTCTCCTCTCCGTCTTCTGCCCGCGGCCGGCCCATGTCCGTGGCACCGTGCGCGTTCCTCCTGCCCTGCAAGCTGCTACTTCAGCGAAAAGGCTGCGCCTTGACGCACCTCCGATCCGCCGCCCAAGGAGCGAACGAGGAAGGAAGCTAGGGTCCGGGACCGACCGACCGACTGGGTAGCTAGCTGACCGGTGACCGTGACCGGAAGCAGGGAGGGGAACAGGGCAGTGAGCGCCCGGCGATTGCTTTATTTGCTTTTGGGTGCTCCGGCCGGGCAGGAGTTAGTTGGTTCTCCTTCGTTCCATGCATGGATGGCAAGGAACTCATCTCACAGTCCGACCTGCAGTCATTCTACCAGCAGCAACAGCAGCAGCACCGGGCCTTCGGCAGCGGCGGCGGGCAACATAGCCCGTCCTCGCTGGCCGGGATGCACTCCGTCATCCGCCCCATGCCCAACATGCCCAACATGAACATGAGCCCCACGGCGATCCTCAACTCCATCGGCGGGGGCTCCCTCGCCGGCATGCAGTTCCAGATGGACCCTCCGCCGCCGCCGCCGCCATTGCTGCACACCGCCACTGCCGCCATGGGCGGCTCCGCCTCCGGCCCCGGCGCCGTCCCGCCGGCCTCCGCTGAGCCCGTCAAGCGCAAGAGAGGGAGGCCGCGCAAGTACGGGCCCGACGGCACCATGAAGCAGCAGCAGCAGCAGCAGCAGGCCGCGGCGTCGCAGCAGCACCTCGTCGCCGCGCCGCCGAGGATGGGGTCCCTGTCGTCTGGTCCCGACATGCTCGGTAGCTCCGGGATGGAGGACCCCGCGCAGAAGAAGCGGCGCGGCCGGCCGCCGGGAACCGGCAAGAAGCACCAGCCCTCGCCATACCAAGGTACCCGCTGATCTCTGCTCGAAAGAAGAGATTTTTTTTCATTCAAATCATCTCTAATATAAAATTATAAATTCTAAATGAACAAGCTTGTGGTGCTGATTTTTGCCTTTAGCTTTGGTGTGCATGTACCCAAAGTTCAGAACATGCCATATCCGATATCTCCTCGCCTAATAAAGTAGCTTTTTTGAGATGGAAGATTGCAGAAAATCCGACTGAGACTTTCCTTTCTTTCACCAGTTGGGGAATCGTTTTATTTGGAGATTTTCCTCCTCTCCACCGTACTATTTTAGAATCTCTCTGACTGTGTACACTCTGAAAAAAAGAACAGCTTGTCCAACTCAACTACAGACCAAATGTCCATTCATTGTCTCGCTAGCTAGATGCAGAACAGCGAATGTCCATTCAATGTCCACGGCTCTGTCAGTCTGCAAAACCAACAGGGTTTCTGAAAAACAACGTTTTGTCAGTCAGAAACCAACAAACCTATCATTGAGGAACTGAATGCATTCGTAGACGATTAACATTCTGTAGCCTGATCATTCTGTGCTCCAGGCAATGCGTTCGCCGGTTCAGCTGGAACGAGTTTCACTCCGCACATCATCACAGCGTCTCCTTCAGAGGTATGTGCACCCCCTGAATGTTCCAAGAAACAGAATGCAGCTCCGATTTGGGCACGCAGGCATACTGAAGTTCACCGTTGGTTTCGCCAGGACGTGGCGGCGAAGATCGTCGCGTTCGCCACCCAGTCGTCAAGGGCGGTGTGCGTCCTCTCGGCGATGGGCTCCGTCTCCAGGGCCGTCCTCCGCCACCCGGCCGACGGCTCTCCCATGGCGAGGGTTCACGCGTCGCCGCAGCCGTACAAGAACAACCCTGCCATCTACGAGGTGCGTGCACAATGGCAATGCAGCAACAACTGATCAAACGAACCCGGTGGAATTCAGCGAAATTCGATATCATCTCTACAGCCCCCCTGATGTTTTCCAACTTACATAGAACTTGTTCGTTCGTTCCATGATCGCAGGGATTCTACGAGATCCTGAGCCTAACAGGCTCGTACAATCTGGCCGAGGGATCACAAGCACAGGGCCAGCAGAGCGGCGGGCTCAGCGTCACGCTCTGCAGCCCTGAAAGGAATGTGATCGGAGGTGTTTTGGGCGGCCCACTGGTAGCTGCAGGCACCGTGCAGGTACCATAACAACATCCTCCTCCCTCCCTCTGCTTCGAGTATTCACCTCAATTTTGTAAATGTTTATTATGCTAAGCTTTTCAACCAAAAGTTGACAGAACAGAAAAATGTTTCTTTTGTACGTAGTAAAGATAAAAATGGTTGGTGACTGAATATTCAGACGAGTGGTGTTCACAAACTGTGGCTGGCTGGGTGGTTTGTGCAGGTGGTACTGGGGAGTTTTCACCAGGGAGGGTCGAGATCCAAGTCCAAGAAAGCCGGGAAGCAGCAGCAGGCGGCGGCCACGGCGACGGCGGCGGCGGCCTTCAGCTCCGACTCGCTCACCGGCGGCCAGGAGGCGTCGCCCAGCTCCGGGCGCAACCAAAATCTAACGCCGCCGCCCTCCGTGACGGGAGGGTGGCCCACCCCCGGGATATTTGACACGAGAAGTTCCAGCATTGATATCAACTCATCTAGAGGCTAGCTCATTTGTCGATAATTCCAGCTCTCGAGAAATTTTCTGTTTTCGCACAAGAATACCCGAAACCATACTTCGAAATAGCTTATTCGGTTTTTTTTAGTAAGTATAAATTCTTATAGAATTCACTAGGCATCGCTCAATGTTGCGACTTGTGTTATTCTTAGCATATTTCATTCCAACAATATCCCTTCGTCCTCTCTGCATGCGTGATATGCCATTGCGAATTATTATTCTCTTCATGGAATCCAGAGACCAATGTAATATGTAAGCAGTGGCAGTAATTGTACACCCTCCACCCTAAAACAAGTACTACTCTCGCTTCTTGAAGAGTAAAAAAATATTAAATTTGAATGATTCTATACGAGAAAAATACTACCACTTATGATATCAAATAAGTATCATTAGATCATATTAGATCATAATAAAGATACTTGGAGATATAAATATCGATAGGGTTTTTTTATAAACTTGGTGAAGCTTTAAAAAATTGACTTGATCCATCTTTTTTTGGACGGAGAGTACAACTACAATGAGACGGGCAAGAATTACTGGCAAGTCATAACAGTGTTATATGCCTACAGATGAATAAGTAGTAGCGAAAAAGCAGACAACAGGCGTATTGTGGTCTTCTGTCAGAGCTCTAGGCCTCCAAAAGCTTCTGAATGTCATTCTGCAGAAGCCACATCAACCAGGTGAATATCAGTGTTCGTGAAGAAAATGAGCATGCAGGAGCAGGCAGTTTATACTAAATTGTCACCTCAATGCTCAACGGGGAGCTGGTTGGTGCATATCTGCTCACAACGTGCCCATCTTTGTCAGCCAGAAACTTGGTGAAGTTCCATTTGATGCGTTCTCCAAACAGACCGCCTCTCTCTGACTTCAGGAACTTATACAACGGAGCAGCATTGCCGCCATTCACATCAACCTGGTTTGACAACTCTAGGTATATTTAGATCGGAACAATGCCCGTCTCGTTCCAATCTAACACATTACAGAAAGGTTCTTCATTGGATGTATGTACCTTGCCAAAAATAGGAAACTCTGCTTTGAAACGGGTGCAAGCAAACTCAGCAATCTATTCATTGGTACCTGGCTCTTGTCCAACAAACTGGTTGCATGGGAATGCCAGTATTTCAAATCCTTACAAGTGCGGAAAACAGAATAGATAAATGGAAGTTGAAGATAGCAGAAGGCCAAAAGCTTCGGTTATTGGCAGGGGACTGCTGAGACCAATTTAGCCAAACAAAGGTATGGTGTAAATTTGTTTTAAGAAACAATTGATATGGTGTAACATGGAAAAACAATAGCAGCGGCATCCACTAAATGCCAGCTCTTTTGATTCGAGTGTACACAATAGCATGAATGAAGAAAAACGAAAGGATCCATGCAGTGCAACATTGGACAGAAGTACAAGGGACAGCAGAACTTAAACTTATTTAAAACTGAACAAGAATAACTTAATAGAGCTGCCAAAGAAATTGAGAAAGCTTGCAAGATCAAGAAGCGAAAACAACATATATTCTTCTCTAAAATGAGAAAGATAACCAAATGCTGACTAGCATGCTGTTGCTGCTTCGAATGCAATCAGATTGACGTTTGGTCTCAACACCAGTATCTACATGCTCAATGAAGCCTTATAAAAAAAGTGGAGCTCAATCAAGGAATAATGTTTAACCAGTTTACGTGTAACTGCTTCAGAAACCTCCAAACCAACTGAATCAACATTTGTTCAAACTACAAGAAACCTATGGGAAACATCAATGCTTATTTGCCATTGATACTTTGAGCGAAGTAGAAGAACACATGCAAGTATGCAATTGGTGTATATTAAGTACCTTTTTCGCCATATTTCTTGTGGAGTGATCCCAACTCAGTATAGTTGGAATTTGTCAGACCACTGCAAGGATACCAAGTCAGGTAGGAAAACACACATAAAAAGATGGGAGAAATTCATTAAAGAATCGGGAAATGATTATAAGAATTTTAACCATTGGGAAGCCACATTCACGATAAGCAGAACCTTCCCCTTGTATCTACTCAACTCCACATCATTTCCTCTCGCATCCTGCAAATTAAATTGTCGAATTAGAGATTTCAAATACAATAACTTTGAAAAGAAACCCAAGTATTTGAAAGTTCTCTTCTTCATATTCCAATTGCATCCATTTAAAAAAAATCAAAATACTTTTTCCAAAGTTTCACATATAAACTATGCCATGTTTGATAAGAAAGAAAGGATGTCTGAGAGGAATGAGTGAAGGGTGGAAGATTAGACCTTGACGCTAAAGCCATGGACTGAGCTAGCGAGCTTGGAAGATGACTCTGCTGCACCCATCTCTGCTTCAAGAAATGTTGGTATGTTTTCCTGGACAAGGCACTGGAGAAAGGATTGCAGAAGAAAAGTGAAGTGATAATGCTTGGAACATGAAAAAAAGCAGAATTATGGCAACTGGCAAGTACCTATCATGCAATTTCTTGCTGCATTTCAGCAAAAATCCCATTTAAGAATTCTGCCTTTTTTGCTGTCCAGATGTTTTCCATAGATGCTAACACCAACCACAAAAAGAACTACTCATAAAAAAACAAAAAGAACTTATGATATTTGAATGGGCTATTTAGGTATCACAAATATTTCAATGGCAGATATAATAATAAAATGAAAAACACTCACAATACTATATGCCTAAAAGAAAGTCATTCCTAAAATGGCCAGCACCTGCCATCATATAGATGCTAAGTATGTATTCTGATTTCCGAATGTTGAATCATGCAACAGTAGTTACAAAGGATAGCATTCTTCCTATCCATACATACAGCTGAACTACAATTAAATTTTAATCTCATGCAGCAATCCTGGGCTATTAAAAAAGAAGAAATTAACCGCAGAAAACAGGGTGTGAAATGTTCAGTAATTGCTATAGGGGGTTTTGACTACAAGCTAGCAGATCCATAGCTACATACAATTTTACGACTGTAGATGAGCGGACAGGGCACAAAACAAAGCAAGCGAGCTACTAAACATTGAATAACTAGATATTTTAGAAAGGATCAACACAGAAACAAAAACTAGGTCTGGCAATTATTCCCATAATTCAGCAACTGGTACAATTAACAGGCTCTCAAGTCCTGAACAAACACAGTTACAAATAGCAACAAAGTCAAGGAGACTACAGTAACAGAGGAAGCCTCTCTAGGGTTTACAATGATAAGACCACCAGATAGCGGCTTATTGCTTATTTATAGCATAGAGTCGGTCCTTGCTGGCAACCGTCTGAAGAAGTTTACTGGTACTGAAGGCAACCTATGCCTGAACCTTGGGTGCCTCATCACATAGAACCCTCCTAATGCAGCAATAACTTGAAGCGGTGTAACATAGAGGACTATTGCTGCTATCAAACAAAATAGGACAAAGACTGCTGTGGCCCGAGGATCCCTCCAGCTAAGCAATGCTTGAACCCTTTCCCCTTGTGTTGCAATATCACCAACCACTGTTTGTATCCTTCCAGCAACACTCCTGAGTCTGTCATACCTCATCCTTACAACCTCAGGGTTGCGGCTGGTTGGGAATGAATCAAACTCCTCATCAAGTTCATCAGGGTGAACAGCCTCTGCATGAGAGATCTTGGTATTCATGTGTGGAGGATAACGAGGTCGGTAGCGGAAGTTCCAAATCCCTATAAGAAACATGTACAGGAACACTGTTGGAAGTATGAGCTCAGGAAAGCACACCAGCATTATAAAGAGGATGTGAACTAGCACAGTGGTAATGGGGTTCTTCCATGAACAGACACCATTGAACCACTTGCTAACTGCAAACAAGCCTGAGAAAACGGTCATGAGTCTGAAGAAGTTTGCTTTGCTTTTCCTCATGCTCCACAAGTGAGAATCAAAATCTGTCATGTATTCAACAACTTCCTTTCTCAAAGGTGGCTCCATCCGGCTAAGTCGGGCAGCCACAATCTGGACAGCTTGATGGCGCAGCATATCAACCTGAAGCACTGGTATTGGGCGCACATAGTGCATTTTTGGAAGCAAAGGTCTAGAGTACAGGTACAACATGTTTACCAGAGATGTTGATGAAAATCGAATTGCCAGGTGAAGTTCACCCATCTTTTTGACCCCTGATGAGTGTAGAACCAGAAGAGGATATGAGTGGGTGTACACACGACCAGTTTCGAGTGTGGAAAGACGTATCCGAACCTTGCCTATCTTCCCATCTTTGCCACTAGATGTCTTCTCCCCACTCTTCTCTCCAAGTTGGCCATTGTCAAAAACACCAACAGTCAGGACAGTTGCAGGATCATAGACTTCCCAGGTGTACTGCTCATTGAATTTGGGATTTGGGTTGTTCATGATGGTCCGTGTCCTTACCCATTTCGACCCATACTTAGCAACACAATAGGTGTCTGATGAACCTTTTCCATCTCGAGTTTTCATGGGAACAATCCCTTGAGCACCAAGGACACCAAGTTCAAGCAAACCAATAGACGGCTTCCAGAGTTGCTTGGCAGTTGGTCTCAGGTCACTGCTGTAGTTTGTAGACTCATCAAGAACATGGTAACCTCCATCAAGACAGAGACGGAGATGAAGCCGAGTAGAGAACTTTTCCTTCTTCAGTTGGTCCACATCAACAAGTACAGGCTTCTCGAGATTGAACCACTTTCCATGGACAATACGGTCATCGGCACGCCTATCAATCATTGCCAAAGGTATGATTACACGACCAAGCATTTCATCTTTATTAGGACCTACACGATCCTCAAGAGTCAGAACAAGGTGGTCCTCAAATGGTTCAGCAGCCACAAACATAAGGTCTTCATTCCAGAAAGGGTTGAAATTTCTAGCCTGCACAGGTTTTGTCCTCCCAAGTTGATGCCCAACCTGTGCTCGCACAAATACATCTGGATAGCGGGTCTTATCGAATATAGCAACATCTTGGGCCTCAATTATATTGACTCGCAGGTACCACAATCTGGGAGCATGATAAACTTTGGACTTCATGTGTGTTACTGCAGATGGATCTTCAAGTGTTGCAGCATCTGAATGCCAGGCATCAGGAAATGCTTCATCAGCTTGGGTGCCGACCCAAACTGCAAGCATGAGCTCACCCATGGACTTATCCCCGCTCTTACCAACAAGCCTGTACCATTCTGGAGCCAGAGGGCTGTCAGGGGGCACACGTATAGGGACGTCATTCAAATCAAATCGCACAAAGCCAACAAAGTCATCCTTAATCAAATCTTTGTCTTTGACCACAACTTCAAGTACAGATGCCTGCATACGGTCCCTTGAAAAAGCAAAGACTGCATTCCACTCTGGGTTCTTTTGCTTTTCAAAGTGCTTAGTTATCCCCCTATAGTTGCCAACTCTCACTTCAACATAAGGATCCAGACTTCCAGTGACGTCCATATCAGGCAAGTCCCGTGCCTTGACCACACGTACAAACAGATACTGCATTCGCTCCACAAGGTCATAAGTGCTAGCATTCTTTTCACCATGTATGACCCGGCCACCAACAACCTGCCCACCACCAAGAAATGGACTAGTTTCTTTAAGTGCATAGTCCATGGGCTGCTGGGAGGCCGCTGAATACATTCTCACAATCCTGGGTGGTTGAGATTGAGGTTTCATCTGGTCAGCAGAGTACTTGGAAGGCTGCTCACCAAAACTAGCTGGAAGATGGCCATGGTTATGATGATGATGTACCTCCTTAGCAATGGTGTGTAAGGTCTTTGCCTCAGACCTATGCTCCTGAGATGTGTGCAGATTAGTACCAGTTATATCAGCTGCAATCTGCTCTGCTGGACTTGGTGCTGGAGGAGGATTATTGGAAACAGGATCCATTGCAGGAAGAGGGTTTGAAGCCTTGATGGCGGGGTCATTGGTGATGTATACTTTCATACCCAGTTCTCCTTTGACGCGAGAGAACATCCCACGCTTCTCTAATGGATAATGCATGACCACCGCGTCAGGGAAGGGCACAAATGAGGTGCCAGCAATCCTGACCTTCCCAAGGAAGGATCTGGAACTTTCAAGAGTTTTGTTGACATTGTAGACATATGCTTCAAGGGCAAGCTCAGGAAGATTAGAAGGATCTGATATGTTGAAGTAGAAGCGCTCATTCCAGACCGGGTTCAGGTCCTTCTCCTTGACAGCAGTTCGAAAGCACTGCCCATCAAAGGTGAGCTCGACACAAGCGCTTGCAGAACCATGCCCATCCTTGGGCATCAAGTCATGAGCACTTACAACCTCCACACCCAGCTTATACATTGCCATTGGATCTGCTGATGTTGTAGCTCACAATAATGCACTGCACATGAAAAGATTAAACTGTTAGAATTGCCTAGATATAGGAAACTTGAATTCAGCAAAAGGAAAAAGGAATGCTAAAGCCTAATAGAGATGACAATAAACAGCTAACAGGAAGCGCTAAATGAAAACTAAAAGTATAATCATATATCAAAAGAGATATACAGCCATTTTTCTGATCATGCCCCAAAACTAGTAATAGCCCACATCAAACGAAGATTAAATCCCTAGAACAGGGTTCAGTTAAATGCCAACATTTTTCGTAAACAAGTCGATACTAGTGCTATCCCAAGCAGCAAAAAACATTCAAAGAAATCTGGATGGCTATCAATCCCAGGATCAAATACTTGCAGCTGAGGACCGACAGATGACAGCAAAGCAAAACTCAAACAGTACAAGCAAGCAAGGGCTCCCTCACCTATTACAAGAGAAGAAGTCAACTCAAAGGCCGGACGAATCCCCACTCCACGCGAATGCAGAAGGAAGAGTTGGAAGGACGCCTGGATCTGGATCAAGGAGTGTTGCAGCTGACGATGTAGTTCCCTATACTCCACTGCAGATAAACAAAACGGTGCACTTTTAGCAACTGGGGGATGGCTACTTGAGCAGCTGAATTCATCATGGAACAGACAATCATCATAACCAAAACAAATGAAAGAATCATTTTTTGAAAAAAATAAGAAAAAAGAAAAATGAAGAAGAAGAGACATTTGATCGATCATGTCATAAAACACGTGTCAGTCCACATCAAGCGACTAAGCGAGGGACTAAAATCCCTTTCACACCAGATTCTGGGGCCAAAAGGTCGGGGGGCAATTCGCTAAGCCCAGAATCTCCGGTCGGTGACACTGACATCGGTATTTGTTAGAGTAGATCACAGCTGACGTCGACAAGAAAACAGAGGGCGGATTATTAAAATTTCGCTTTCTGGACTCATATGAGGCACAAGCACATCGGCCTTTTCAGATATACAGCAAGCGCAGGTATCATATATCATATCATATCATATCACAGTAGGCCGAGTATATACTATAATCTACTATCGAAAAATCCGCGCACGTTGGAGGGATTAGTTAATTCGAAGGATATGCGAAAAAGGTTTCGTATCAGCGTAAAAAGAATCGCGCTTTTTTGTCGCCGCCTCGCCGCGCTGAACTCGGACGCTCGAAAGCGACGCGACTGAAGTCGAAATGAAAAAGAAAAAAAACGAAAGGAAAGGAAAACGAAAACACGCAGGATGATGAACATCAAAAGATTCCAAAACACGGTCGTAAAATACATACGGATTCCAGGAACCACACGAGAAAAAAGGAGGACTTTTTTACACGCGTACGCTCATGGGAAACCTAGAGCTCCAAGGACAAGAAAGAAGGAGGGGGAAAAAAGGAGCCTAGAAATCCACAAACAGGAGGCGGCGACGGCGAGGCGTCGCAGGGCGCTGAATCCACCGAAAGGGGAACAAAGAATAGGAAGAGAGAGAGGTCCAGATCCGGTCACCTGTCAGCGCGGCGCTCCCAGATCCGGCCCCCGGAAGCAGCGCGGAGACTATGCGACGGCTGGCTGGCGGCTCCTTCACTCGGCCGCCTCCATGGGAGCCGTCCGTCGATGGAAACAGTGGAGGGGAAGAGGCTTTTTGGTGGGGTTTTGGTATGGAAAGGAGGGAGAGGGGGAGCGGGTGGCTAGTTGTAGACGACGCAGAGGGCGAGGAGCGTCCCGTCCCGTCCCCTTGCTGGTGCGCGTGCAGCGTGCTCCTCTTTCCGTGCAAGGGCTGCTGCTGCTGCTGCTTCCGTTACCGGTGCAGTGCGGCCGGTGCGCTCGCTGGAGTGGAAGCGTGGAGCCGTGGATGACGCACGCGGAATTTGACCTGGTGGGCCGCTGTGATGATTACAAATTACACCTTCGGTAAAATGCCTTGCAAAATATTTTGCTTTGTTTGCGGCGAGGCGTCAGCAGCAGTAGTACCCATGCATGTTGACCTTGGATGGGATGGCCCATGGCCGGACGGTGCCTGCGTGGATCCCGAGACGGGGGCTTCTTCTTTTTCCTTTCCTTGGACGCGGCAGGAGACGGGGTTGCGTACCGATCCACGCGTCACTCTGTCTAGACGTCCTACGACGGCCACATGCGAAGGGTGCTCCTGCCGACTGCCGTGCCTCCAACCTCCAACCACGGACCGAGGCACCGCACGGCACCGACGGGCGAAGCCGGCCAGACGGTAGATGGCCATAGGCCGAAGGCCCCATCCATGGCAATGTGGCATAGCCGCGTAGGCTTTGCCCTTTTTACGTGACGTGCATCCAAACCTAAGCTTCCGTAGAGTTGAGTTTCGGTGGAGTGTATTGCCGTCCAAGCAAAAATCAAATCCATGGACATCACTGTCAAAAAAAACATGGACATTATCAACCAAAAATCAAATGCAAGGTCATGCAGACCAGATTGTAACGGAGAAATCGAACATAGAAAAAATGGGAGAAAATACAAGAATAAAAAAGAATATAGTGGTCAAACAGGGGACGGGAAACTAAATAATTTTGTAGAAACGAGCATTCGGAATATAGGAATAAGATAGTAGAAGAATAATTTTAGCAATAGTGGGTGACTCGGGGGCGACCCGCCGCTGCCACTAAAGCTCCCCATCGGTGCAGCCCTCTGGCCGCCGTCGCTACTCACCTGCGAGCGGTGACGGCGGCCCGCGGTGGCGCCCAACAAGGCAGCCGTCCGCAGCCCCCTTCTTCCTCCCCTCCCTCTCCCTTTCCTCTATCCGACCTCGCTCTGCTCCATGGTGGCCGACGGCCGGAGCGGCCGGGGTGGGTCAGATCCCAGCTCTCCATGGCCGGATCTGGGGCTGCCTACCTGGATCCGTGCACGAGGATCTGTGCGGCGTGACCCGAAGGTGCCTTCTCCGGTGATGAGGCCGGCTGGCGGAACGGACGGATCCGGGGCCCTCGGGGCCGGATCTGCCCTCTCCCTCGCCAGACCTTCGACGGGCGTGGTCACTCCTGCTCGGGGTCGCTTCGGCCGCGGTGGGTTGCCTGCGGCGCGTCGGCCCCTTTCGCAGGTGACCAGGCCATCCGACGGGCTGCCCTCCCCATGACTAGATCTTCGATGGGCGCGGTCGGCTCGCGCAGCCCGAGGTGGGGTCGCGTGAGGTGGGGACCCTGCTGTAGTGCTTCGTGCACCGCTGCTGGCCAGCCCGTCCGCGGCTGCCTAGAACATGGCGGAGGGTGCGGCTGGCTAGGGTTGGCCTGCGGCCGTCCGCCCCAATCCCTGACACCTACCTCCTCCAGTGAACCGGACGGCTGACGGGGCAGATCTGGGCCTCTCGTGTCCGGATCTGCCCTACTCCACCCCGGATCTACTGCTTTACGGTTGGTGGCGCAGCGCTTCTCCGCCTCATGGGGGCGGTGCCTCTAGATGCATGGTGTTCTGGGTGAAATCTCAGTCCGGTGGTGGCCGGGCGGATGACGGTGACGCCTTTGGCACCACTTACCTCCCTAGAGGCGTCGTTCTCCAAGCCCCATGCTCCTGTGCCACCAGCGCTGGATTCTGGGCGAAAACCCTGCCTTAGAGGCCTCTAAGGCCAGCAGCGACGGCGTCCATATCACTGCCATGGGCGTCCTCCCCTTCCTGAAGGCGTCGCTGAAGAATCGGCCTAGTTCCTACTGTCGGTTCCTTGAGGAGTCCCTCACTGTGCCTGTTGTGCTTCATTTCCACTCGCATTGGTCTGTCCTGCATCTATTGACCTTGCCCGGTTTGTTGTCATGGATATCGTAGCGGATGCTTTGCAGCTACTGCTGTCGATGTTTTACCACCGGCAACCCGCCACGGGAGTACCCGGGACGGTGATTTGTTCGGAGGGGTATCGGCGTTTGCAGGAACTCGATGGTAAACGCAGGGAGACAACGATTTATACTGGTTCGGTACGCCGGAAAGTCACGGCGCCCTACGTCCAGTCTGGTGTGGATAGTATATTGCGCCCTGCGCTATTTGTTATGGTTGTGAGTTCTGTCGGTTATGTCTGTCTCTGCCGATTTAGGGACCCCTGCCCTCCTTTATATAGTCTAGGAGAGGCGGGAGTCCTAGTCGGTTACAAAGTAGAGATCCTAATAGGATTATACGTAACTAGTCCTAATAGGATTACATGTAGGGAATCCTAATTGGACTAGGTCTTCTTCTCTCTTCTCCGTGCGGAACCCTATGGGTCCCGCATCGACAAGCCCCCGAGCATTTCATGATTGAGCTTCAAGGGCCGGGTTGTTGTAGACTTGTTCCGGGTTCTTTCTTGAAGTGAAATCTTGAGATGGTCTTCTTTGTCTTTTCTTCGGCTGATGTGCACTTTTGGACAAAAGTGCACTCAGTGAGTGTAGCCCCCGAGCCTCTTGCTTGTTGGGACAAGAAGCCAGAGGGTCCCTTTAGTCTTCTTGGTTGCTCCGAGTTCTTTTTGGGTGGGTGCAATTTTTCGTAAAAAATGCACTCACTGAGTGTAGCCCCCGAGCCTCTTGCTTTTGCTTGCAAAAGTTGGAGGGTCTAGATTCTTGTCTTCAAAAAATTCTGGGGTTATTTATCCCGCAGCCCCCGAGCCTTCTCCGAGTACTTTTCTTTAGAATAGAAATCGGATGAAGGGTCTTGATGTGTTGTCGTTGTTGTAGTCTTGAGTACTTGTTTTCTTGGTCTTTCGTCCTTGAATCCGAGCCCCCGGGCGTAGTTGAAGCGAATGCCGAGCTCCCGAGCTTAGTGTTTGACTAAGCCGTGATGCTCTTCCGAGTTGTTTTTTATTCATCCAGGTTGTTTCTGGACTTCTCTGGTTCTTGATGTACCTCTTCCAGGTTGTTTGCACTTCGTCCAGGTTCTTTCTGAACTTGTATGTACCTCATCCGGGTTGTTTTCTGATCAATCCGGGTTCTTTCTGAATTTGTCTTGTTACTTGCAGCACCTCTTCGGGGTTGTTTTCTGATCGTCCCGGGTTC